CCATTGTTCAAAACAGTTTTTAAATTCACTCATCGGGATGTCCTTTAAGCCTTCCAGCGATTTTTGTTTCACCTCCTCCACAGTGGCAAAACGCTTTCCTTTCATATTCCTTTTGAATTTGGGGAACAAAAAGAAGTCACAGGGGGCTAGATCCGGTGAGTATGGGGGGTGGACAATTGGTGTCATGGCGTTTTTGGTCAAAAATTGCTTCACGGAAAGGGCGGTGTGGGCGCGTTGTCATGATGGAAGAACCAGTTTTCGCCGAAATGTAAAAAGTTGTTTTACTAAAAAAAATCTCACAGGCAAACCAATGCACTCACAGCGACACAACTTCGCACACTGACGCAGGTGGCGTGACACTAACGGACATGTGGTCAAACAATAGGTTCCCCCACTCTCCCTCCCCACCACAGCGTAATTCCCGGAACTTATGGGTCCCCCCTCGCGTATATACATATAAATCAATAATTAATAATACTCTGCAATTGCGGGATGTTCAATATCTAAAAATGATTTTAAAAATAATAGAAAATGAAATATACACATTCGTAACTATATTTTTGTTAGAGCGATTATCAAAAAATAAACAAATTTTGTGTATAAAACTTAAACTTATTTACTAATAATTTGAATTTAAACAATAATCATTATATATTAATATTAATCATATAATAAATTCCTATTGTTAAGTTAAGACAGTAATATTACTAACATTATTATTTACTAGTGAGAGAACATTTAATAAAACAAAGAAAGTGATGAAAATTATATGCTAAAATATATCACTAAATTAATTTCGCAATTTGACTTTAAAATACATAGCAATTGTCAGTGACAAAATTATTACATCCAGTAACTGCAGACGAGAAAACTCGAGATTTATTCCGATTCTGTACAAGAATCCTCGAAGAGACACCAAACTGGACTTCGTCGAAAAGAGACGAGGAATAACTCTCCATGATGAAAATAATTTCGACTTTTCATCGGTACAAATCACGCAATCACTAGCATTCATCTGACACGAGAGATAGCAATGAGACCTTTACATATAATAAATTGATTACTAAAATATACTTGCAATTCTGTAATGTTATCAATGTAAATGTCAAAAAGCAAGCAGGAAGTAATTATTTAATCATTGCCTCAGTCAAAGTTCTGATCTTCATGACTTATTTAATAAATCTGTATATATGTACTAGTAAATGCGAAACAAAATTGATGATTATTCTAAACATCAAATTTTTAATTAAAAGTTACTTAAAAGTAATGATTTTTTGATACTCTTAAAATTAAATCCAAATTAAAAAAAAAGTTTCAAATCATGTTTTATACCATTGTTGATATTTTATGTATTAATCTTAGTATTGAAATTGATTATTTTAATGTAAATGTTCAAACAAAACATCTATCAAATAGTATGCATAATATTTTTTTATTTTTCAGTAGATAGATATATGAAAATGTTTTCTTAAGGTGCTCATAATATCCGATCCTATTCTATATATATATTGTAGTTACGAAAACAGAAATAAAACTAGTATCTGCCTACTTCGCATATCCGCTTTTAGTGGAAGACTCTTCCTCTGCTCAGGCGGAGAGACTTTCCTAGACTTTATGCCTGTTAGATAGACTATTATGACTTATTTATGCCTGTTAGATAGACTAAAACAGCCGATAATTATAATATTTTCCTGCTTGCGCGGTGACTACTTTAATAAGGTCTTGTAACTATGTCAGTTTTACGAATATTGTCATAATATTTGAACTGAGTAGCGCTTGAAGCGCGAGTCTTTAAGAAAATGCAAAAACAATCGATTTTTTTCAATCCAATTAATAAAAATTGATTTTTTTTAAGCAAAAATCTTTTTAAAGTAACATTGGTGCAATCGGACCTAAGTAGAACAAATTAGTTCTTTTCTAGAACAAGATCATATTTATTTTTTGATGAATAATTGTCAAATCGTGATATTTTTTCAACCTGCATGTTGCAAAATTTTCGCATAATAGTAAATACTTCTACAATACCTATAAGTTAGTTTAGTAATTCGACGAATGTAAATTATAGGTTTTAAATGTACACTGGAACTTCGTAATAGCGAACCTCGAAAAATTTCTTCTGCGCTATGAGTAGCATGAGTAGGCAGTAACAGCCATTAAAATCTTGAGTTTCATTGTTTCGAGAAAAATAGGGACGATATCTTTATAACATTCATCCATGAATCGTGTGCTATTACGAGGTCTTAGTATATTTGTATAAATAATTAAAATTGAGGTTTTCTAATACAAATATCTTTTCTTACAAAATTTAAATAAAAACGCTGAATATACAATTTTCTGTTTATTTATTTAATGAAATTAACACATAAGGTACATAAGCTACGACCATTTTTTTCATGGCTGTAAGTCTGTTATCACATCCTTAATGAAATTTTTTCTTACAATTCTTCATAAAATTTTTCATAATTCCTATATAATTTAATCATAACTCGCCAACTTACGTAAAGTATAACATGATTTCGTCGCTGCACGTTAGTGCTGTAACATTATCGTCTCTTCTAATAACCCTTTATAAAATTTTTCAAAGTTTTTATACAAATTGAAACTTTTCGGCATGCTAAAAGTTTCTATTTCTTCTAGATTTTATATACATATACATATGTATATTCTAAAATATATTTTAAGATTTTTCATTCTATTGTATATAATTTTAAAAGAAAACTCATAAAATCTAAAGAATTTTAAGATATGTTCCACTTTTTTAAATATTAATATGCATAAATTTAATAAATTAAAAATATTCATAAATTTAAAATATGAAAAATTCTTAAAAATATGAGAAATTATGAAAATCTTTTCACCAAGGATGGGCTCCGTTATTTTTTCGTGTTTTTTTAAGACTTACATATTTGGGTTCGCCACGATTGCAAACGGCGAACAAATGGAACTCATAGAATGTCTTTATCACAAATTAAATAATTACATAATTGCCACGATTGCTACATAACTAATGTTAAAGATGATATTTTATTAATATTTGAGTTTCCAGGTTTTCTGGTTTGCCCACAGAATCCGTGTAATTGTTTCTGTCTACAGACCGAGATATATATGAAGCGTCTCGAAAAAAATAACTTCAAACATCCACTTCGTTCAATAGAAGTCTTTCGAGGCACACAGTATATCCTATACTATACATTTCGATGTCGTGAACTCTGCGTGTTTCAATTGCTACACGAATCCTTCATCGGATGTATACGATCTTTTGTGCTGGCTTGGAAATGTATCCTGTAGAACCACTTTCGCCGATTCGTTACCTCCACCTCCCGCCTAAGCATCGGTAAGATGAAAGTTTCTTATCGCCCATAAGGATATAACCATTTGTACCTGTATTTGGCCGGACGTGGATAATACGCGAATGCGTAGACTACTGCAACAAAGAGCACAATTGCATGCAATAAAATTGACATTTTTTATTATTAACACATAACAGATATTAATTTATCACGAGAAAATCACGGAAATATATATATTAATTCTTTCCAATTTACTAAAAACTAATTTATCTTATGAAGATAGAGAAGTTATAGACCGGTATTTATAGTTGATTCTTATATTTAAGACCATCTTAAGCCTTAAGATATCTTGAACCACAAGGCTGTATTAGCATCTTAAAACATTACTTAAGACAGTCTCAAAATATAGATGGATTATCGATATAATATAGATGAATATCGGCTATAGTGCTTCAAATAAATATACACTAAGCATAATATTGAAAGTATGTACTAGATACAAGGCTGATATTTTATCGACAAATTTTTCGAGCATATTGATTGGTTACATGGAAGATTTTTAAAAACTCGAGAGAAAAAACAAGTTTTTCTTATTCCAAAATAAAAAATCGAGTAAAAGCTAATTTCTTTTTACCGATAAAAAATAAATTTTTATCGGTAAAAAATTATTTTTTATCAAAATATTCTGAAAAAAGGATTTATTTTCGTAAATATCCGTTTGTTAAAACACTTAATATATATGTCATTTCGATATTATTTACATTTTTTGTCTTTGTAACTTTAAATATCAATGTGGAAATCTATTTGCGATGCCTAATTAATAACGCTTTTTCGAAATTGGACTTAACAATATGTATATCCATTTTAGTGGTTGCACTACATTTTATTTGTTTATGGTCTGTCTTTTCCCAGAAATCTTTTGAATGTAGCAACTAAATTCTAGAATAAATATTAGTTTAGCATCAAATGTTCACAGAAAATATACCAAGTAAACAATTTTCGAAGCCAGATTAAAAAACTTTTCTACTAGATTTTTAACTCAAAGTTTCTATAATCTTTTTAAAATAATCTTTATCTCTATTCGAGAACTTCTCAATTAGCATGCTTAACAAATTTGTCGTACGATAAAATATTAACCTAATATGAGACTACAAGTTTTACTTCAAAGCAATTTTTGTTTTTTTTGTTTATGAATAATTGCAATTTTGGACAAAGCCTGGAACAATGTTTGTTCTCATGGGCATATGCAAGAGAGAGTAAGAGAAGGCACTCTCTAAATTATTTTGTAAGAAAAAATAATTAAATTATGAAAATTATTTTTACAATAAGAATTAAACACTCATTGCCTTATTTGTAGGTCATATGTAATTTATAAGAAAGTTTGTTAAAAATTCTCGAAAGCTTTAATAAGTTTTCTGTGAAAATTAATTTTTTCCTTCCTATTTGAAATCCTAGATACGCCCATGTTTGTTCTATTTGTTCTATTTTGCCTATCTTTCTAAAATCACATATTTATAATAATATACCACATTGTATGAATACCAGAAAAGTATATATATTTAATTTTAATACACACGTTCAGGATGGAAAAATACAACGCTCACATTGCTAAATATGTCAATTTATGTATTTTCCATTTTACTATTTGTGAAGGATAGAAATTTCGGCTCTGAAAAATATTCGTCTCACTTCGTCATACCGTTGTAAGAACTTTTTTGGAAAAGGATTATTCACATGTTCGCCTACTTGTCGTTGACGTCGCTATTTGGTTCTCTACAGCCGATGGAACCTCTGCAACGACGCATAACGTGCAAGTCGTTTGGCGAACGCTCGTCTTTGGACATTCCTTTTACGGAAATTATCCAGCGTGTCGAAAGGCGAGGTTGGTATTAACGATCCTTGACTCCGCCAGTAGTAAGCCGACGGCATCGGACTTAAAAGTGGCACCCTCAATGGGCCACTCAAGCTGCCATGAAGGTGATTCATGAACTGAGGCTTTCCGTAAAAGTCCACGTGTGGCTGCAACTTGGGTAAATCAAGGGAGTCCGAATGGCCCAAGAGAGAGATCTTCAAGGGTGCGATTTGCGGTTCGGTGTCTACGGATAGACTCGCGTACACCGACGTATCACTGTCGTCATGTGGCCGTTTAGACGGGTCCAGCAGAGAGCCGTGCGGATATTGGATTTGCTGTAACGGGTATTCCACATTCGGCTGGATTAATAGATTTGGGTCCAAGCCCAGATTCGAGAAGTGATGATGCGACGTGATCTGCGGTAATTCAGGCCGCTGGTAAGCTCCGTCTTGAGCAGCAGGATTGTTGTAGTTTGTGGGATAGCGTTCCGGAACATTATATGTCGGAATTGGATGCTGGGTGAGAGGATAAGAGTTTACGTTGTTGTTGGTGAGGCTATCCTGGCCAGCTACAGTTTGATCCTTTGAACCAACACTATCTTTCAGCACACTGTTCAAGAGATTCTTGATAACGGAGTTTTTGGTCGGGTCCGGATTCTCTAATACTGCCACGTGCGTTTGTTGATTGTTGTTCTTGTCCAGGTCAGATTTCGTCGGTGTCACGATCAGCAGGCCGCCCTGGCCGTTGTCTGTGAACGTGACGTCTGTCAGTCTTGTCAACAAATTTATTTAGTGCTTTATAAGAGTGCTAAGTACAAGTTCGTTAGTCAAGTTGGAGCATAACAGTTGGTACTGTCGAGATTAGTACGTTGCGTTTGTGCCAAGGATATTATAACGTGTCTGTCGAGCAAGTGCTAAATGTGAAACAACATGAACAATCCACTTCTACATTCGCACAATACACGAATGGTACACTTACTCATATTTGAAAGGAACTATTACAGGATTTGTCACAATACGATGTAGTGCGCTTGTGTCATGCTAAATTCTAGTAAATTTTGGACATGGTACACTAAGAAAAATATTCTAGTTATGCCAACAAGAAATATTAGCAAAACGAATTCTGATTTATATCAATCAGAATTCTGATTATTAAATGTCTGGTTATCTTGACTAGAATGCATTTAACTATATATGTGTCTGATTTGTTCTTTCTTTTTTTAGATTAAATCTATCAAAATTTGAATTAATGTAATAAGACCTCTTTTCTAACGTACAAGAAATCATCTATTTACTTTTGTGTGATTATAAATTATAAAATATTAGAGATGTGCAATCTCAATCCGATTTTTTAATCGGTTTCGCTAAGGTTCGATTTTACGGTAGATCGATTCATTTAATAAGAGACTGATCTTTGAAGCGCAAGAATTAAGAGATATTCTGATATATCATTTCATCCCTGTTACTTACCGAATGTTAAACAAGGATAAAATGACATCTGGATACACCTTGGGCACCTATCATGGAACAAAGTCGGAATTCCGATCGAAATTATTCCGTTTTTCCCAGAAAATATAATAGAAATTTAGAGAATAATTGATTAATTCCGATTGGAATTCATTCCGATTTTGTTCTATGATAGGTGCCCTGATCAGTAATGAATAACACTTCACCTCTTTTATTTTTCTTTATTTTTATCTTTAACTATTATGAATTCTTCATTATACATTGTTATTAACATTGTTGTCAGGTTTATTTCTGGTAAATACGGATATTTAAAAAACCGTATGTTTTCACGTAATTATTTTTATTGTATTTTTGTTGTAGCATTATTAAACAAACATGTTTTATGATATATATATAATTAAAACAATTTAATATTTTTATTTAGATCTTTATCATTTTATTGAAAATTAATCCTATGTACGTTGTATTCCAAAGAATCCAAAATTGTAATACCATTACTGTGCCTGCATTGCCTACGTTTACACGTTACCGGTTAATCGGATTTAGTAATATCCATAGTTACAACTATTAATTATAACTGACAAAATATATAAATAAAATTCTGTTTTTTAACACTTACTTAAATTCTATTTTATAACACCAATTGACACTGACAGTTATAGAATTGAATTTAATGCATTTATATACGATATTTTAACAATTTTACGTCAGTCGTTAAGGACTGTAGATTAAACCTATATTTTTAAATTAAAATTATTTTACTCGGAGGCAAATCAGAATTGTGTTTTAATTATTTTGTTGTCTTTGTTAAATTTATACGATGTTACTAAAAAAATTTTAGTTAAGTCGATTTCTGATTTCGGCTAGATCGATTCATTCAGCTCCGAATTTTTAGTAGATCGAATTCAATCAACCTGATTCAAGATTGATTCAGAGATCGATTCAATTAATGGAGATTACACATCCCTATAAAGTATCTTAAATGTCTGTTGTTAATACCGTATATTGCTTTGTCAAGCAATATACTTTTGCTGATGATTTCGACATATTTATATTTATATATCAGCGTTGTTATGAAAACAGCATATGTATACAAAAATTAAGGGGGCACATACACTTAGAGGTGATGAAAAAATCGATTTTTTTTACATATTTTTAAAGTATGATGTCTTAAGAATGTTTTTTGTAGAATTATAAATCAATCCGGCGAAAAATAGAGGAGTTGCATGAAATTATAGACGAGGTATTATATATATTATAGGTTTGAACACGTTGAAGACGATAGGTAGGCGCGCCTACGACAGGACGATTCAAGTTTGCGCAGGTCAAAGAAGAGTCTTCCTCTATTCATTGTATTTATCAATAGCAAGCCTCAGAGCTGCATTTAAAAATATGAATGATTGGTTGAATAACAGTCTCGTCTGGACGAGCAACTGAAAAGGTTAACAAAAGTAAAAACTGTGAAAACTGAAATGTAAAACTTTAAATGCATTTTTCTCAAAACGTAGTTTTCAAAATCCGTGACCACTATGTCTTGAAGACGGCTCGACTGATTGATTTGCAATTTTACACATTTTTTCTACTGAAAACTAGTTCTTGATATAGGATTTTTTTTTATAATGCTTATTTTTTTTCCGTAGCCAAATCAAGCAAAATTTTTTGTGAAAAATCGCTTTGTTAACTTTGACCAATTACCATTTTATTCAAATACAATATTTTAAAAAACATTTTATTTAAACGCAATATTTTACGTCAAATACAAGATCTATGTTTCAATTTTATAAAACTTATGCCATTTTGCTTTCAGACAAATCGTGTATGAGCAGCAATGGTTGTTTTATAAAACAACCGCAAACCCTGTTTTATAAAACATGATGTATGAAAATTTGAATAGCGACTCCATTACATTATTTTTTAATAAAATTTTAATAGTAAATAGAGAAAAGTATCATCTTTGCAATGGAATAAACCCGACTTCTTTATATCTATCCGTTTTTTTACAAAAAATTCGCAAGATTAAGCTTCGTTTTGATTCGTCTAGGTGTATATACCTCCTTAAAAGAAATTGGAAAAGTATGTCAGGAAACAGGTTTTATATTATGTAGTTGCTGCTTCTCGCCAACTTTCGGGGAAAGTGAAAGGTCGCGTGCTGATACATTCATGAGAAAACATTCGTGAATCGTGAAACGAAATGTTCTTCCGGAAGGAGGACATTGACATTCACTACATCGGCGATTGTGCGTTACGGAAAGGGAAATTCGGGCATCATCAAGCGAATCACATCAATGCGCGGAAAGAAAGATATTGTTAAAGTATTATATTAAAAAATTTAGCTAGATATAGGTTAGAAAATAATTTTAATAGACTATTAAAATAATTATATAGAATGTTTAAGCTAATTGCTAGATTATAAAAATATTTTTGCTACATTGTTCATCATGCTTGAGTTTTCTATATAATTATTTCAATGGTTCAAAAAAATTATTTTTAGATCTGTGAATCATCCAGTTAAATTTTTATTATAGATATTTAAGCAAAATCATTCCTTCTGTGCATATTCCGCAAAAAAGTGTCAAAATTCAATAAAAGATCGAAGATATCATAATTGTCAGATTACATCAACATTCGGCAGCAAAATTTATTCGCAAAAGCAATATTCGATCCATTACTTCTTGAATAAATTAAGGAATATATCTTCCGCAATTTAATTGTTTCGAAAGAGAAACTAAAGGCTTTAAAAAATAATTTTCTTCTTGGTCCGTATCGAGCTATATAGCTCTTCTCTTCGAATAATTGCTTATTACAACGTCGGAAATATTAGATGGAAGATATACTCATTAAGATTTCATCAACACGTAATTAATATTCTAAGTTAATTGTCGTTCCTCAGAAGAGGCGAAAAACGGAATATGACCCAAGAAACTTTGCAATGTTACAATGTTACATGTAGGAATGTGAAACCTACCGTTTGATGGCACGCCATAAGTCTCGTGTGCTGAGAAGTCATTAGACACTTCGGAAAAATCATCGGAGTTTGGCGGTGACCCTGGGTAGCTGGGATTGTGTTCTGTAATTTCAAAAGTATTATATTTGATAAAATACTATCATATATAAGTAGAAATAGAGACTTACTTTTAATGAGATTAATTCAATAATTATATAAATCACGATATAATTATACACTCAACAGTATCAGGTAATAATATAATGTATGTATACTATATATTATATACTGTAAAACACTTCAACGTACACTTATTTATTTTAAAGCTTTTTTATCGGTTATAACATTCGATTGTTAAGCTTTTTGATTCAGATTCGAGAAAAGCAAATAATACTCATTGTCAGTTAGATCTTGAGCGAGTGATTACCGTGAATATCCGACTTCACGGATAATCAGTCGGCTTGTAAAGACTAAAATGACTTTCTATAGGTTGCTATTTCTTGTTATAAAATTATATCTTTGATAAATTTCCATGTTTAATCGGTTGAATACAGCGTAGACAAATGAGCGTACAATAGAAAGTAAGCAAATGCGTCAAGTTTTTAGTACTTTATTTGCAACGTGTAATTTGCGTATGTATATGCATGTAGATGCTTAATTTTTAAATATATTTATAGTTGATTCTTATTATCGTAATAATGACAAAAAGCTCGACAAATTTTGTTCAACAGAGATTGTATTTTATCTAGATATGAAAGAAAAACAGTCTTTTTTATTTAGGATTACAATTTAAAGAGTTACAGTTTTTTAACGTAAAAAAATTTTAACTTTTTCTATCGAAAAAAGATATAGAATTTATTTTCTTCATTAAATCGTTTAAATCTACATTATTTTGGTAATAATATCTTTCGTCTTATAACTTTAAAAATTAAAGCGGAAATATTTTTGCGTTGTTGTCCATAAGCGTATTCAGGATTTTCGAGGGGAACAGGAGGAGACTTTTTATCAATTTTATTATCATATAAACAATAACTTTTTGCGGTAATAGGTGACTTTTTTGAATATTTTAGAATATATAAATGTCTCCTTCTCATTTATGATTTTAAATAGGAAAAATATTTTGTGTAAAACATAACTTTTATTATTTTTTTTCTAAAAAAAGTGTAGGAAAAATATAGTTATATATATTAAAAATGAAATGTATAGTTGTATAAATGACTGTAGTTAATATTTCAACGCACATTCTGTTTTTTAGCTCAAAAATTTTGAGAAAATTTTTCTATGTATCTTAGTCACTCTGTCGAAGCTTCAACTCTAACAGAAGAAAAATTATACTTTATACCATATATGGTCATAACGGGAAGCAGAATAAAAGAATTATTTATAAACAAAAGTAAAGTTAATTTTTTTAAATTAAAAATGAAAGTATGAAACAGTTTGTGGAAATTGATTTTTGTGGATACGCTCACGGCGGTATCTAATGAATTAATAATAGGTATATTCTTTTTAGCTGTACTTTTGCACCAATTAATTTTTCTTCCTTTTTTCTTCAGGAAGAAAAAAGAGGAAGAAAGATGAAAAGATGACTGCAAAAGTTTAGCCAAAAAGAACAGGCCTAATGTTTTTTCAAAACTGAATCTAATAGCGAATTTGATTGGGTACACTAATGCGTACTGGTACATACTAAAACAGTTGTAGGTACACTAATTCCAAATTATAAAATACATATTCTACCTAAAAGCACAATAAAATGTATTGAGAATTTCACGATTTAATCAGTTTTTATATTTATACTAAATACATATCTTTACGTCAATTTGTATACGACAAGTTTAATGTGCACCAGTGCTCACTGCGTTCAACCAAATTTGCTATAAGTACGAGGTCTGTTCAAAAAGTATCGCGAATTTTGAATTTCCTCGGGTTACGTATATTCGATTTTTGATTTTTTGTGACGTTATGTTGATACTCATGTCTTTCACTTATGCCGACAAGTTCGGCCATTTTAAATGTTCAGTTAATTTTTGACAGCTGCTTTGCTTGCACGTGTTTTGGCTCGTCTTCGATTTTTGCCTATTCCAAAAAATGGATCAAAGAATCTGTATCAAATTTTGTGTGAAAAACAAAATTAAGTGCGCGGACGCATTCCGAATGTTGACTGTGGCATATGGTGAAGCTACCTTGGACCGAAGCAACGTTTATCGGTGGTACAAAATGTTCTCAGAGGGCCGAGAAGATGTGAACGACGAAGAGCGTGCCGGA